CCCACACACACACACACACACACGCGCACGCGCACACACACGCGCACACAACACACACACACACTCACCTCAAACACACACACACACACACTCACACACACGCACACGCACACACACGCAACCACCTCAAACACACACACACACACACACATAAACAAACACGCAACCAAATCAAACACACACACACACACTCACCCACCTCAAACACACACACACACACACACTCACTCCCTCACACTCACTCACTCACTCACTCACTCTCTCCTCAAACACACACACACACACACTCACTCCCTCACACTCACTCACTCACTCACTCACTCTCTCCTCAAACACACACACACACACACTCACTCCCTCACACTCACTCACTCACTCACTCACTCTCTCCTCAAACACACACACACACACACTCACTCCCTCACACTCACTCACTCACTCACTCACTCTCTCCTCAAACACACACACACACACACTCACTCCCTCACACTCACTCACTCACTCACTCACTCTCTCCTCAAACACACACACACACACACTCACTCCCTCACACTCACTCACTCACTCACTCACTCTCTCCTCAAACACACACACACACACACTCACTCCCTCACACTCACTCACTCACTCACTCACTCTCTCCTCAAACACACACACACACACACTCACTCCCTCACACTCACTCACTCACTCACTCACTCTCTCCTCAAACACACACACACACACACTCACTCCCTCACACTCACTCACTCACTCACTCACTCTCTCCTCAAACACACACACACACACACTCACTCCCTCACACTCACTCACTCACTCACTCACTCTCTCCTCAAACACACACACACACACACTCACTCCCTCACACTCACTCACTCACTCACTCACTCTCTCCTCAAACACACACACACACACACTCACTCCCTCACACTCACTCACTCACTCACTCACTCTCTCCTCAAACACACACACACACACACTCACTCCCTCACACTCACTCACTCACTCACTCACTCTCTCCTCAAACACACACACACACACACTCACTCCCTCACACTCACTCACTCACTCACTCACTCTCTCCTCAAACACACACACACACACACTCACTCCCTCACACTCACTCACTCACTCACTCACTCTCTCCTCAAACACACACACACACACACTCACTCCCTCACACTCACTCACTCACTCACTCACTCTCTCCTCAAACACACACACACACACACTCACTCCCTCACACTCACTCACTCACTCACTCACTCTCTCCTCAAACACACACACACACACACTCACTCCCTCACACTCACTCACTCACTCACTCACTCTCTCCTCAAACACACACACACACACACTCACTCCCTCACACTCACTCACTCACTCACTCACTCTCTCCTCAAACACACACACACACACACTCACTCCCTCACACTCACTCACTCACTCACTCACTCTCTCCTCAAACACACACACACACACACTCACTCCCTCACACTCACTCACTCACTCACTCACTCTCTCCTCAAACACACACACACACACACTCACTCCCTCACACTCACTCACTCACTCACTCACTCTCTCCTCAAACACACACACACACACACTCACTCCCTCACACTCACTCACTCACTCACTCACTCTCTCCTCAAACACACACACACACACACTCACTCCCTCACACTCACTCACTCACTCACTCACTCTCTCCTCAAACACACACACACACACACTCACTCCCTCACACTCACTCACTCACTCACTCACTCTCTCCTCAAACACACACACACACACACTCACTCCCTCACACTCACTCACTCACTCACTCACTCTCTCCTCAAACACACACACACACACACTCACTCCCTCACACTCACTCACTCACTCACTCACTCTCTCCTCAAACACACACACACACACACTCACTCCCTCACACTCACTCACTCACTCACTCACTCTCTCCTCAAACACACACACACACACACTCACTCCCTCACACTCACTCACTCACTCACTCACTCTCTCCTCAAACACACACACACACACACTCACTCCCTCACACTCACTCACTCACTCACTCACTCTCTCCTCAAACACACACACACACACACTCACTCCCTCACACTCACTCACTCACTCACTCACTCTCTCCTCAAACACACACACACACACACTCACTCCCTCACACTCACTCACTCACTCACTCACTCTCTCCTCAAACACACACACACACACACTCACTCCCTCACACTCACTCACTCACTCACTCACTCTCTCCTCAAACACACACACACACACACTCACTCCCTCACACTCACTCACTCACTCACTCACTCTCTCCTCAAACACACACACACACACACTCACTCCCTCACACTCACTCACTCACTCACTCACTCTCTCCTCAAACACACACACACACACACTCACTCCCTCACACTCACTCACTCACTCACTCACTCTCTCCTCAAACACACACACACACACACTCACTCCCTCACACTCACTCACTCACTCACTCACTCTCTCCTCAAACACACACACACACACACTCACTCCCTCACACTCACTCACTCACTCACTCACTCTCTCCTCAAACACACACACACACACACTCACTCCCTCACACTCACTCACTCACTCACTCACTCTCTCCTCAAACACACACACACACACACTCACTCCCTCACACTCACTCACTCACTCACTCACTCTCTCCTCAAACACACACACACACACACTCACTCCCTCACACTCACTCACTCACTCACTCACTCTCTCCTCAAACACACACACACACACACTCACTCCCTCACACTCACTCACTCACTCACTCACTCTCTCCTCAAACACACACACACACACACTCACTCCCTCACACTCACTCACTCACTCACTCACTCTCTCCTCAAACACACACACACACACACTCACTCCCTCACACTCACTCACTCACTCACACTCACTCACTCACCTCAAACACACACACTCACACTCACTCACTCACTCACCTCAAACACACACACTCACACTCACTCACCTCAAACACACACACTCACCTCAAACACACACACTCACACTCACCTCAAACACACACACTCACACTCACCTCAAACACACACACTCACACTCACCTCAAACACACACACACACACACACACTCACTCACTCACACTCACTCACTCACCTCAAACACACACACACACACTCACTCACACTCACTCACTCACTCACTCACCTCAAACACACACACACACTTCAGACACTGAAAATGTTCAGAATAGCATACGACTTCTGTATTTCTGCAGTATATAGTATGCAAAGTGGGAAAATACACTTCTATATTTGGTAAAAATGTGGTGTACATAATCGGGTGACATTGCACCATATCCCACAATGCAATGTGCTCGTCTCGACCTTCTTCCAGAGTGATGAATGAACTAGAAACTACTGCAGTTTTATTCATATTTTGAATTCTTTTTCAGATTTTCATTTTAAAGTTTTAGTCATTTTGGTTTTTGTTTTGTTTTCGTCATTTTTATTATTTGTGTTAGCTTTTTGTTTTGATTTTTTAATAAATGCAATTAAAAAAATTTCAGGTTTAGTTTGAGTTAT